GCGCACTGCAGCATTAGACACTATCAGAGCTGTGGTAGGGGCAGGGAGTTACTGAAACACTGCTTCAGGCTTGTCAAACATTACTGTAATGCTTCAGTTTCAGCTATTACAAATTACCTTACTAGAAAAACATCTGATTGTGCAAAAATCAAAATTGAATTCAAAAGGAAGCGGCACTTGCACAGCAGCAAATATTCTGCCTACTGCTCTCAGGGAGGGATGCCAAAACAGCATTTGGAAGGAAACCGAGCGTTTTCTGAATGATCTTCATCAGTACCAGTAACGAGAAAAATATCTAGCAACTCTTATTATTCCTTAAGCGTTTCAACAAATGAAAGTGGTGCAGCAGTCAGCACTGCAGGAGGATAACAGCATCCTCACGGTGACAGGTCATATCACTTTGGATATGAACCATAACAGCTTTCACTGACACCTATTATTATTTTTTGATAATGGTCATGGTTATTAGACAACAACCTGAATGCCAGCATTATCTTGGAGTTCCTATGCTTGGCAAGGCTCCTAAAGAATGTGAAAGCTACCAACAGGCAGTATTTTGTTCCATTAGCACAGCTGGCCTGCAATCAAATTTTGCCACCATTCTTCAGTTCGTTTTTTTCTTTGTTTTTTTTTTTGTTTTGTTTTTTTTTTGGGGGGAACATAGCAAGCTAAACTCAAACAAAATCAAACAAAATCACATTTAAACATCTTCCCCCAAATCTGATTTTAATACATGGTTCACAAACATTTTATTTTTTCTCATTTCCATTTTACTTTTTTTTTTTTCTCCTTCATTTCTTTACAGTATCTGGGGGAATGCAGGTTTTGAGGCTGCCAAGGAGATTACTACAATGTCATTCTATATCACTCCGTGATACTGAGCAGAAACCAAAACTACAGCAACTTGTGTTGTCACATCTACCTGGACCTTCACCAGATGCCTACATGGAGGATGCCAGACACAGTGTTCAGAGTTCATTGAAGAAACCTATTTGGACATCGGCCCAAGGTCAGGAAGCCCAGAGATACCTCTGCACTTCCTCACCATTTGGTCATACCTGAAAAATATTCCACGTATTTCAAATACTACTAAAGCTCTTTGAAATTCTTATGCTAAAATGCACAAAATTTGACCTGTAGGCCTAGAAATTATTTGGGAACCAAAACAAGAGGAGTGGCTACTGAGTTGGCATCTCAGATTCAGAAACAGAAATTCAGAAGTTTTTGGCTTCATGTTCTATTTTGGCAGCTTATTCCATTTTCCATACGAACAACTAGACAACAGAATAAAGTTAAACATACACACACACACAAAGCCTTTTCCCTACTTGAAATTAAGTGTACTATCTCAAATACAAGCTGATATTAAATATCAGATGATACTAGACCCTGCCCTTCCCATATTTTAGACCAGAAAAGATCTCCAGTTGTATATAATGCATCCTGATAATAAGTGTATGTGAAAGAATCCATTAATTGCAGCTACAAGTTGCTTAAAATTTGAGATCAAGGAGGTTAATCACACCATTTACCATTAGAACTCATTGATATTCTAACTCTAGAGCTTAAACATGTTCCTTATCCACCTTATAGTGCATATGAAGTATTGCTGCATAAAGATCAAATGCATTAGCTTAGAAAACAAGATTTATGCATGTAAATACAGATACAGAAATTAAACAATTACACTGAGCTGGTAATAGGAAATAATGTCTTAATTGAAAGAAAGGTTGGGTATAACCCAGTAAGGTGTGGGTTATACTGCAAATTTAGATMAAGTCCTCAGGTTATGATAAAACTCCTAATCCCTGGTTTAAGTCAAAACACCAAGAAAGAATCAGTAAAAGCTGTAGAGAGACTCCTGAGGCTGTCACTATGCTTTTTTACAGCTTTATGAATTAGAGTTTATTTCTGCCTATGGTTGGCATACTAAGCTTCCTCACAGTCTTAAATAAGCGATATGATTCATGCTTCAAAGTCTAATTTTTGGCCACACATACGAGAAGAAATGGTATTTTTAAAATGATTTTGAGCAAGCTATGAGATCTGTGTCTTTACAGGTCATWTATAATGCATTAAAATGACAATTCCATTAAGTTCCACATGGCTACTCATAAAACAGTACCTGGTGGTAAGAACTAGTCAGAGAAGATAAGGTGGGTCTGCCAAAGAACAGAGTCATAAATCAGGAGTGAAGAATGAAACTCCAAACTGGGAGGACTAAGTACTATCAGTTAGTATTTCATTAAAAGTAATATTAAAAAAAATAGTGAGTGGATGGAATTGGAGAAAATCACACAGATTCAGAAACAAAGGGTGTGAAACGCTTAAGCAATCTAGTACTACTATGGATGCTGACGTTTTGCTGCTTTAATCCTATTCCATTGTTATATCTCAATTCTTTCAGCTGGGATGAAGCAATGTTTTGTGAAGAGACTGCCTCATATCCAGCTACTTGCAAATCCCACGGGAAACCCTGAAGGGTGGACAAATCTAAACCAGCCTATTATTCAGTAACCTCAAACACGTTGCCCACCTTGGGATAAGTCTGGAAGTGGAAGAAGGGCGACGCTTCACCCGGAGAAAATCGGTTGCCCTGAAGGTCCATCCTCAGGACCATGACAGGGACTAAGGGCATCAGCACTGAGCTAGGACCAAAACTCATCCCGACACTTTGCACTGTGTTCTTCCCGCTACAGGAGATGAGCTGGGGTGAACTGGAATAGACCCTGCACATGGGGGAAGGTTCAGGAGGTTGGAGAAAACTCAAGGGACGCGGCACTTGGCACCASCCCTGCTGCCACCAGCACGTCGCTGTCATGAAACTGCTGTTTCTTTGTTCATTTGTTTTCTTCTCCATGTACAACAGCTGTGAGCTCCAGCTCTGCTGCATGGTGCGCTGCTCTCATTGCCTCTCAGMGTGAGGAACAGAAGTAGCTTCTTCTAGACTTATAACTATTTCTCTTTTCACAGGAAGGGGATGCACCTAATCTTAATAGGTTAAAGACATTTCTTATTTTGTTCTTTTCCAAAGCTGCCATGAAAAAGCACCTTTTTGACAGCACAAAGAGGCATTCGAAGCACCAAGCTGACTGCTAATACACATACACTTGTTGTACTGGAATACACAAGGAAGCTATTACTGCRTCCCATTTGCTCCACTAATTAGTGAAGTCACAGATATTTACTTGTACTTGAAGGGGGCCTCTTCCCCCACCTACACTTCAAAATGTTTTCTTCCGTTCTTAGTTCATAAGAGAAAATTCAATAAAAGCAAGAGAAAACTTTCTTAGTTCTTACAGCAGTGCTGCTTCTCAAAGACACTGTCCTTCAAGCGTTATAGCAATATTTTAACTTTGACAGCTGCTCTGTTGAGACATTCCTATGGATAAAACAAAGCATCTCTCTCCAGCTCCACTACAATAGCAATGCAGCCTCATCAGCAAGGAAAGCATCAAGGACAACATGTCATGCATCATTCTTGCATAACTTGTTTACCAAAATTCACACCGCAAATACGGTGAAGACCAACTGAAGCGTCTAGATATGCTGATGAGGTGAATGTAATGAATGGGTGAATGTTTGCTTAACAACACTGCATAACTTGCTCTAAAAATACAGAATATTCTTCGTTTGCAAGTCATGCAGGTACTGACGTTAGTAAACAAGGATTCCTGCCGTTTCCATTTCCAAAAGTATTTTTTTAATATAAAAACTTAAGAGTATACTTCCTTAACACCTGTCTCTCTCCTAACTTTAAAATGAAATGAAAAAATACCATATGGTATAATAAATGTAGCTCTGTTAAGCAACACCTGATGGATTCAAAAGCCTTTTTTTTTCTCCAGGAATAAATTCTTCTAACAACTATTAGAATCAATCAGCTGTACAAGGCAATACGTGTGCTGAAAAAGCAGCTGCAGACATAGTGGCACACGAAGCATTCAAGGGAAGCGGGACCTCAAATCTGTTTAAAACACTATATATAAAGRCAAAGTAAAAATAAAGAAGGGCTGTCCACAACCAAACTGCACTCCCTAAACCACCAGGACCAGCTCTGCGACTTCCCTCACATTCCGAGCATCATCTCCTACCCAAAACACATACCGAACTAAGCCAAGGGGATGGCCAAGGGGATGGCCAGCATCTTCATTTTGAAACAAACCATACTGGACAAAATCTGGGAAATGTGGTGACTTTTACTAAATCTTCATATGGCTGATAAGAAGATGACATTGAATGTTAAGCAAGTTCCAGTAGAGGTATTTACTACCAAATCTAGCTAAATTATAGTAGAAAAGCCTCTACTATAGCTGTTTTGTACTTAAGATACGATATTTACCAACAACCAGGAGACGCTACGAGCTAAATATGTTCATCTCCAAGTAAAATATTGTAACCCTAACCCTCCATCAAGCCAAGGACTATCAAGACCAGCAAAAGAGAAGCGACACCACAAATAGACACCATGAACATTTGGGCATGGGGCGATTCTCCACGTTATCAATCTGGAAATGGGCACTGTTGTGGGCTGAGCAATGGATTATCTGCTGATAAGCGCTCTACRACTGGCTACCACCACATGGCTTTGGTGCAACTGTGGGCTGGCATTGGCTTTACTGCATGTATATATATATATCTATATATGTGCATGTGTCTGTATATATRYRYATATACAGACACATGCACATATATATATGACTTAGAGCAGCTGTTGTACCATGCATCCATTATTTAGCTGTAGAGCTCTGATACATATATTTTTTTGACTTTTGCTATATTTCTGACTTTACTTCTAGCTTGGTTATAGCTTCTTATATTGAATGAATTCTCATACTCAACAAATGATTATTTCTAGTTCAGTGCAACTAATCCCAGAATCCAAAAGAATCCCAGAGGCCTCTCTAGCGGCGTCACACCCATCTGCCTGTCAATGCCACAAACTAGATTGTGCTTCMTATATTAAATAAAAAGAACATCTTGCATATCACTGCACTTACCCTTAGTTGTTCTCTTTCACAACTCATCTGTTGCCTTGAGCTCTACCAGGAGAAAAAAAAAAGAAAAAAGAAAAAAAAAATTCAATTTTAAACGCATAATGTTCATGAAGTGAGAAAGTTGGTAGGTCTATGCATCTTACATGAAGAACTGCTGCAAATTTAGCTGTAAATCTTAACACAATATTGTGTCATGGATCTAGATAGATTTATTACAAAATAAGTCTCCTTTATAATTTTAATTTTACATATTAAAAAAAAAAATAAATCAACACCAACACTAAAAGTCACTAGGAGTGACCTTGAAGTACAAAAGCATTTTTTAAGAACACTTTTCTTCAAAATATAGCTATGTTACCACTTTTTAGAGACCTCTTTGGGAATTCAGTTCCAGAAGAAACTTTGCTCTTTCTCTGTTTTATTATAAAACTCTATGATATATGAGTATTACACTACAAGGGTATCGTGACCAATTCACAGTGCATATTAGAGATAAAGATTCAAGAGCGCCAAAAATTGATTATATGAATTTCTACAACAGCCAGTTCCATGTTGGTCCAAAACTAACTCTGTCAATGCAGAAGAGTTTTCCCACCCTTTCGTTTCTAGGTCCCGCTATATGAGACAGATGTTTCACAAGGCAAGAGCAAGATCTTACTATCCCACAACAGTAGACACTGCTATATTTGTGACGGGACCAACTCATCAAGAAGYAGCTCTTCTAGAAAGAACTCAAGGTGCTAAGAAGTAGCACTTGCTTCCATGTGCACTGGCAGCWCCTAAATCAATCCTGCTAATGGGGCCAGATTTGCCCAGGAAGGTGGACTGTTGTCACATAGGCCAGAACTTGATATTTTAGTGACACACRCGATGTGTCAATGCAAAACGACATGCGACACTTGGTAAGGATATTTTTCAGAGGGCTAAGAGCATTTTTCACTACTTTGCCACTTATGAAAGGTTAAAACATGAAGCAACATCCATTTGTAGAGATATTTTACTGCTCTAGTGATGGTGAAAAAGGCATCTTCTCAGGCAAAGTTACTCTTTTTTGAAAAAGAATAAAATTGCCACCCCATTTTCCATACAGAAAAATCTACTTCAGCCTAATTCCTGCACTGCCAGCTCATACTTTTCCTGRAATCTCTTTGCTTCCCATTATTTCCTGTTTTCCACTGATGTATGTTCAAGTAGTATTTCAACAACTCCAGCAGTAGTAGCAATAAAAATAGCTGCAGAAGCCCCAAAATAATYCTGCATGCTTTGCTCCTCTCTTCTACAGGCATCAGTGTTTGAGATAGGGTCTTGCATGAAGGGACCTCTCATCTGGATCACAACAGCTGCCTTCAGTGCATGGGCAAGCTTGCCATAAGGCCAGGTATTAGGAAATCAAAGCAGCGTGGGCTTTGGGAAATRGAAGAAAGGCAAAAATTGAGAGGAAAAAAAAATGTGTGGCCAATGTGTAGATCTGAGCAAGGAATACAGTAATGACTATTTATGCAGATAATCAAGCCTGTGTTCTAACTGCTCATTTATAGGGCTACCTACTAGTGACACTTTGAATGAGTGAACTTCTAAGCAGCAAACTGCGAAGTTTCTACCATCACAGAGAGCAAAGCAGGAAGTCTTATTTAGGATCGAAATGAAACATTAATGAATAGTGGGAGAGTACAAGGAACAGGCAGAGGAGACTGAACAAGATCAAAGACGTCCCAGTCGACAGGGGTGACTGTGGTTTATCTTTCTCAGCACACAACTGCTGCTGCACATCTGCCAGGAACAGAAATAGAACAGAAACACCCATTCATTTTAAAACAAGCGGCTTTCGTACCAGCATATGGGAGTTCTATAACATTTTAAAACACCTTTCGGTACAAAATCTGGCACCATATCCAGGCTGCTGTTTCCTGAAAGAAATAGGGGAAGGCAAAGGCGCAATATAYATGGACACACCATGAGCAGTGATTTCCCTTCTTAAAAGCTCAGCAAAGATCTGATGCCAAGACAGGAATTTTAGCTCTAATTACAACATCCATTCTCATGACGGCTCCCCCGAGACAGTGAACTTCGTTAGAGAGCTCTTCTCTCACCCTTCCAAGAGCTTTCCAGAACAAAGATAGGAAGGCCAAGTGGTAATGGGTTATCAAGGTAAGATTGAAAAGATAAAGGGAAACAAAAAAGCTTATTTTAATGAAAAACTTTTTTTTTTTCACCAGTTTAAACAACAGCATATGCACATGTATATGTGTGAGCATCTTTATGCACGTATTTATATAATACACCKGGGAAAGGCTCATTTGGGCACATTCATGCAAGTAGGTTTCTATGCAACTAACGCCAAATGTGCTCTCTCTTGTTCTGCATCTTTTGCTAACAGTGCCAGTTTAAGAGAAATACCCTGGCAGTACTAAGCACTTAAGGGAAACTATAAATAATGCATTTACAATATGTAAATCTGCATGTGATAAACCAGAAGAACTGGAAACCATGACATATTTAATTAATGATCAAGAAACCTTAGAAGCAAACCTTGTGCTTGTCCTGCAATTTTATATATACAGATTCTCAACCTTAAGTTTATTATGTCTCTGGATTGAAGCCTATAAAATGAACTATTTATTTCTCCTCTTTTAGTTCAAAGCTGCATGACCAACCCGGTCAATGTGCTGGCTGTCATTATGTCAGGCTCTCGCATACCAGAGATTAGTGGAAGAATGCCCAAAATATTGATTCTCTTTAAAGGATTTCATCAAAGAAACATTTTTAAGGAGCTTGCACAATACTTTTAGAAAGACTGCTGTCTTACAGAAATACTGCTGCTGCCAACCACCAACACGTTAAACAAAAAGACCTTTTGGAAATAGCGTGCGACCCGCTGGCGTGATTCTCCAGTGAGCATGTGCACGTGAACAGAGTGGGAAAGTGTGCTTGTTTTGTTTAAATAACAGTAGCAGATGGGAGAATTGAGATTTTTAATGTATTTATCAGCCATAAGTCTCTTTATAAGCACATGCATATCTAAACAACACACTAGGGACTAGCCAGGACTATATCTCTTTCAACAGAGCTTTGCGTGGGCTTGGGAGTGCTTCCCAGTGCACATTTGGGCTCTTTTAGATCACCTCAAACGTGTTACAGCAGACACAAACATATAAATACATAAATACCACGAACTGTCAAACTCAAACCTCAGAATTATTACTGTTGCTACAGAACCACAGAACATCACCAAGCTACCAAATATTCTAGGATTTGCACTGCTGCGAGAGGTGCAGCAAAACAGGTCGTACTAAGCAAGTCCTTGCTCTGCAGGGCTTAAAATGCACATTGAAAATCAGGAACGTTGGTAGAGGCAGCGACAAAGAGGGAGAAGAGCAGCACTATACAGCTTGATAAGCAACACTAACAGCCCACCTGCGGAAGCAGGTATTTCAGATCTATGTGGAATGTTTTATATTCTAGGTATTTTACCATTTTTCCTGTGGGTTTAGCTTACATTCTGAAGAAAAGTATGTGCTGTACACAGAGCAACCTTGACACTGGAGTCACTTATTCCATGATTTCTGTGCAGCAAAAGCAGCCTATTTTAAGAATAACTCCAGAAAARGTCCTATATTATTTTCAGCTTTCTTTTTTTCACATCCAAAACAGGCAAAAAAATATTATAAAATATGCCTGTTTTCATTATGGTTGGAGAGTTCGCATGATCTATGACTGTGGATCATGAGTCAGATGGGATCAACTTGACACTGATCACAGTCCAAGTGGTTTCAACAGGATTCCCAATTATCAGATTAAGGCTGCAAGTAACTCCTCATACAAACAGATTAAATAACTGATGTATCTTACTTCTTTCACTAGATGCTCATCTTGAAAAGATGAAAAAAAAACAAGATTTTTTTTTTCTTGCCCTATCGCAGAAAATCGCTGTGCTACCCCCGGGACTGCACAGTACATTGCCACCCCCTGTACCTCATGTAGATACTGTCACCTCAGGTAGAACTGGGGCTGTTCTCCTCCTTGAGAAGCTCTCATTTTGTCTGTGGGTCRCTACCCCAAACGTTGCCTACTTGAACAGTCCAATGAGATGAGGCATTACTGAGAACCTATGAACCTTTTGGCCACTCTGTGTTTCTGGTACACAAGGGTATGGAGCACGTATGTCTACACATAACACATTTTTCCTGAAGAACTTGCAGTTTTGGGTTTCTCTTGGCTAGGTATGTGCCTCTGCATGCACAGAACTTTAATTTTGTGGGGCTTTATTACAACTATCAGTTATTGCGTTAGAGCAATAGCTAGAGGGACTGATTTATTCTCCAATGCCCTAGGCTTTGTATTGTATATATCGACTAGTGCAGTTGTCATAAATACATGCGGGTGAAGAAATGCCTACAGTTCTGTGTGTTAAASTAACCACATTTAAGGTTTCAAGTGTCACATACAAGAGGGCTTGTTTCTGCTGAAAGAAACAGGCAATTATTATGGCCCATTGARCTCAGATTAAGCATTTCTATCAAAAGAAAGAAAAAAAAAACTCTACTGCTACAACCCTTGTAAAGCTGTAAATGCAAATGGGGACTATCTTCCATAAAAAGTAATCTATGCGTTCGCATGCATCTCTCTCTCTCATTTTCTATCTCCTACCCTAAAATGAACAAGATATGCCAAGCAAGGGAATTTTAGTGAGGCCAAAAAAAACCACAGAAAATCTGGAAAAAAAAAAACCCACTGATATAGCAGTTAAAAGAATTTTCAGGATTTTCAGGCAAGCATTTCTTCATATACAATGACTCATTTAATTGAGTGAGTATCCCTGAAGATGTCTTATGTTCATCTTCTCTTCCTGTTAAGGCAGAGCTTCTGGTGACATCACTTAAGCAGCATGACCAATGCTGCTAAGATGTCAAATTTAGCTTTTCATTATGCTTTTTCAACAGCTCAAGTTACACCAGAGCCCACTGAGGAGAACTCTGTTGCTGCCTGGGGCTGACCCCGCCAAGCACCAGTCCTGCAGGATGGCACAGCACCCACCGGCAAGGCAG